TCTGCTCTCCCTGCTGCGCAGAAGAGGGTCGGTCACTGAGTGATTTCAGACAGGACGGCTACAGAGAAACCCTGGGAATTACCAAGGAATTCCCAGGAATGCCTATGCGGTCTAAGCAGTGCCGCATCCCTGGATGTCTGCAGGCAGCAGGTCTGAAAAACTGCTCAAAGGGGTGCCAGCTGTCACAGAGTGAGGAGAGATGCAGGAAAGCATGTCCAGGCAGCACTGAGACTGAAAGCTCTTCTGGAAAGGGTACAGAAAAGGGCCACAAAGATGATTAAGAGCCTGGAGCATCTCTCCTACGAGGAGAAGCTGAGGGACTTGGGTCTTTTTAGTCTTGAGAAGAGAAGACTTAGGGAGGATCTAATCAATGCTTACAAATACTTAAAAGGGAGGGCACCAGGAGGACAGGGCTGGTCTTTTTTCAGTGGTGCCCAGTGACAGGACAAGAGGAAATGGGCACAAACTTGAGTATAAGAAGCTCCACCTAAACATGAGAAGGAACTTCTTTACTGTGAGAGTGGCAGAGCACTGGAACAAGCTGCCCGGAGAGGTGGTGGCATCTCCTTCTTTGGAAACATTCAAAATCTGTCTGGACATGTTCCTGTGCAACCTGCTCTGGGTGGACCTGCTTTGGTGGGGTTGGACTAGATGATCTCTAGAGGTCCCTTCCAACGCCATATGATTCTATGATTCTATGAAAGGAGGGGCAGAAAGATTCTGAGGAAGATCCCTGAAAAGATCTTAAAATTGGAAAAAGGTAGATAGGAAGAAGTTTTTCACTATGAGGGTGGTGAGGCACTGGAAGAGGTTGCCCAGAGAAGCTGTGGATTCCCCATCCCTGGAGGGGTTCAAGGCCAGGATGGATGGGGCTTTGAGCAAGCTGGTCTGGTGGGAGGTGTCCCTGCCCATGGCAGGGGGGTTGGAACTAGATGATCTTTAGGGTCCCTTCCAACCTAAATAATTTTATGATTCTAAGCGTCCTCTTCAAAACTCCAGCTGGGCTGAGCACTCACCTGCAGCACAAAGGTCTTGCCTGGGAAGCCAGGGCTGAGGCCGATGAGGTCCATGTAGTCTGTGTTGGTGATGTAGTTCTCAATGCCATGCAGCACCCCCCGCCCGGTGGCGGAGTGTCGCCCATGGATGCCTCCCTGGCTGATGGGCTTTCCTGTCACACACGCCTGGGCGTTGATGTCCTGTGAGGCCGGGATGGGGAGAGCAAAGGTTATGGCCTCACCCGGTGCAGGTCCTCTAGAGAGAACTTTCCCCAAACCTCAGCTTCCCTCACCCTTCCCCAAGCTTCAGGTAAACCTAAATCAACTTCCTGGCAAGGGCCTCTGGGCACAAAACCCTCGTAGTGCCCATGGCATCCCAGGCTCCAAACCAGCACTGCTGGAGCTTACCCGGTACCCCAGCGTGTGGGTGTAGGTGTCAGCTATCCAGGACATCTCCCGCTCCCCAGTACTGACATCAGGGGCCAGCACGTCAATCCCAGGCCCTGTGGAGGTAGAAAAATCTGTCAAATCCTGTCTTTGTGATTTGTTTACTTTGCTCCAACCAATGGCAGGTGCACAGCCAGGTGATTTCCACAGGTTGGTCACATCCTTGGGCACACAAAGGAGTCTCCTGACCAAAGTGTGGTGCTGCCCATGGCCCAGGTGCTCCCCAGCTTCCCTCGGGCATGAATGCCTTTGGCTTTCACAGGGTCTCTGCCGTGTCCCTTTCCAGTCCTTTCAAGTAAAGTGGGGATGTAAAGGTCTTTGTGCTGTCACTAGCACTCACAGAGCCCTGAGGCAGAAGAAACCTTCACTCCTCCCTGCGACTGTGCAGGGGGATGGAGGGTAATGCCAAGCTGAGACCCCCACCCAGCAGTAGGTGGGATGCAGCCTGGGCCAGCCTCACTGTGCTGAGCACCACACGAGGCTCCCTCTGCTCCAAATTCACACCGCAGGTAGAGAAAAGAAGGGAGCAGAGAGCAGAGCACCAGGGCAGTGAGCGCTGGTGACAGGCAGCGTGTGAGCAGCAGCCTCTGCCTGCTCAGCTGGGCACCCACTGCCCACTCCCTTGCAAGTCACACACTGCTTGGAGAACTGGGACAAAACCGCTCTCACCTATAAACCCCTTCTTGGACATCTCAACAGTAAAATGCCTCGTTATTTTCTCCAGCTCATGTTCCTGTGCAAGAACAACAAAACATAGTTGTTACTACAGGCCCCAACAAAAATCACAGAGCCGCAGCACAGCATCTGGCAGCTGCCCTGCCCTGCCCTGCCCTGCTTGCACAGGGCACACCCTGGCATCTCCAGGGAGGTAATTCACAGCAGCTGGGAACCCTGGATCGAAAACGAAAGATGTGTGAACTCCTGGTCTCTTTGCTCACTGCCCTTCCAACCCCTCGCTGATTTGCACCTTCCCCCAGCACAGCAGGCAGCGTCCCTACTCCAAACTCCTTCAGCTTGTGTCTGGCCAGATGCACTCACCCATAAAGCAGAGTTTGCCACCCTTCCCCCCGCCCCAAGCTGCTTTTCACAGTCGCTGGGTGAGTGTTACTCACTACAAACGCCTCCCCCCGCCTGTCAGAGCGCATCGCTGTGATACGCACCGAGAGGGAGGGCTGTGCAAATGGAGCGTGAGTTATGGGCCCTCGGCAGGGGAAGGAGAGGAGGGAACTCACCGAGTACTTCTTTGGATCGATCCTCACACCCGTCATGGCACCACCAAAAGGGAGATCTGGAAAAGACCAGGTAAGGCAGACCAGATGTTCTCTACCAGCTCACTGCTCCCCAGGAGGAGGGGGACGTGATCGTGGCAATCATGAACTTGTTAGTCAATCCAAGCAAGGGGGCAACACTTCCCCACACCACACTCGGCTCCCCCCTAATGCCACACGGCCTCTGTGGAGCAGAGCCCAAGGCAGGACAGGATATAGCCCCTGAGCCTGCCACAAACGCCACCAGCCAGAGCTGAATCCATGACAACCCAGGCACAGAGACTGCATCTGAGAAGCACGATGCTTGACGCTCCCTGATTAACACGAACATCCCGGACTGCCAGTGGCATATTCTGCAGCCGCAGCAAGCCTTGCCCTCGCACATCCATGCCCAGAGGAACATCCTGCACTTCTGGAGCACTTCTGATTTTCAAAGCACCTAACGAGCTTTTCTGACTCACTGTATCACAGCCCCATCCCATGCCCAAGTCACCACACGCTTTATGTTCCCCTTGTACTTACCCACTACGGCGCATTTGTATGTCATTAATGCAGCCAGAGCTTTTACTTCATCGACACCGATTGAACTGCTGAAACGAACCCCTGGGAAAAGAAAAAGAAATGAAGAGTCCCTGCCTTTTTACCACAAACGGCACAGAGGCATTGCAGGAAAGGCTTTGACTCTTCTAAAACAACAGCATCTAGTCACGATAGGTGATCAGCAATTGTTCAGCTAGATCTGTTCCTCCAGATCATCACAGAACAGAAAGAGGTTTCCTACCAGCCGGCTGCTCCAGACACAGCCCTTTGCTGTGGTGAGTACCTCAAGCAGGACAGCGCATGATGGTGAAAACCTCAGTCTAAGGGAAAGGGGACAAGAGGCTGGGACACCCCCCTCTCAGGCTCAGAGCAACTGTTGCCCCTATGAGGTTTAGGATGGGAAGTCAAACGCACACAGGGGTGGCCAGCAGCCACACTGCTCTTGTGCACCAGTGTGAGCTAGAGCAGCCAGGCTGAGGCTGCAAAGCTGCCTCCTGTCCTTCTGTGGGAAGCACCCAAGGAGAGTATCCTCCTGGGTGCCTCCGTACGGCATCCTGACCACCTAACACAAACACCTCCTGCTCAGGCTGCCCGCAGCAGGCAGGGGTGAGCCCCAGCTAAGCCCCAGGCGCAGGGCTGGGTAGGGATGACGAGGTGCGTGGTGGGGCCGCAGCCCCCTGCCTCACCCCCTTTGCTGGGCAGGCAGTGCTGGCTGTGCTGGGCCCGCCAGCCCCGCACCACCTCCCAGGTGCCGCTGTCCCTGCGCAGGGGGAAGGCCACCTCCAGGACATAGCTGCAGCGACGGATGGTTTCCAGCAGCCCCCGCACCAAGGGCAGCCGGCCCCACTGGGCCCCCGCCGCCTCCGCTGCTGCCTCCGCCTCCACCATGGCAGCCGCCCGCCCATAGAAGGCCTCCACCATGGCTAACAGCCCCGGGGCGTCGGGGCTGCCCCTCGCCAGGCCAGCTGTGCCCCGACACCACACCGGCACCGCCATGGCGGCCCCCGGGCCCAGCCGCCTCCTCACCGCCCCCAACATGGCGGCCCTCAGCCCAGGGCGGCTGAGGGACCGCCTTTCAGCAAAGGGCTCTCTGATTGGCTGAGCCCCCGCCGGGATGGCCGTAGGGGGGCGCTGTGGAGGGCGGAGTGGGGACGGCAAGGCTCTTCTGATTGGCTGATTCTCCGGCCAATGGGAGGTGGGGATATGGGCGGGGGGGGGTCTGCGCGGGGAGACGGTGGCTCAAGGGGGCGGGGCCGGGTGGGTGCGTGGGGCCGTGGG